CTCTCTCTCTCTCTCTCTCTCTCTCTCTCTCTCTCTCTCTCATCTCCTCTCAGCGAGCAAGAGTGTTGCCTCGGGCGTGCCACCGCCTTTGAGATCGCGCACGAGAGCTTCAAAGAGAGCGTTCGCGCCGCGAAGAGGAAATGTAGTTTTCTCATATAAAGAATTTTCTGTTGGGCGATATGCAACGATAACAGGTAGCCGGCTCCGGCATTTATATTGTAAATATTTTCCGAGAATGCATATAACCAGTCGAATCCCATCTTCCTCTCTTTCTCTCGCATCACTCTCGAGAGGTCGTGTAAATTTAAACGGCCGCGATGCGATAAATGAATTACGTTCGATCTGCCGACGAACGCGTTCAAAGCGCGCCACTCGCAGCGGCGGCGTTAAGCACGAATTTAATTGTTAAGTTTCCGGGAAACGGCAAGCGATGCGAAAGTCTCAAACTAGGGGGGAAGTAGTTGGGTAGTTGAGTCGAGCACGAAAGAGAGTACTCCCGTTCTCCTCGCTTCACCGAGTAGTCTTCTTTCGCAGCTTTCGTAGCATCTTCGCGTCATTGAATATTCTCGGCGTAGATATATCTACGAATTTGATCGAATCCCGAATTGACACGTTAAGGGACGATTGTTCCTCCCTCTTGCTAAGCTAACTAACGGTTAAATCATAGATTCATCTTTGTCTAATTTGAGGGAGAAACAAAGACAGACATATGAGTTGGGTAGTTTACTAAAAAATTGGAAAAATCGGCCTTAACGGAACTGGAAGGTCAGATTGCCTGAAAATCGTGCTTGTTCTTTCATAATTTTTTATGACAAACTTAATGAATATGCGAAAGTGTTATTTTGACGTGTATTTATACAATATATAAAGAGAAGAAAAATATAATTTTGATGATTAAGTACCTAATATAAGTGTATGGTACATGCAGTTAAAATATATTTCGTTTTTCTTTTCAAGATCGTCATTTTGCAATAATATCTTGACTCTAGGTGGTTCAATTAAGTTGAAGTTTAGATAGAAAATTTGCATAAGCTTCTCGTTATCGTGTGAACCACTGACAAACTCGTGAAAATATTTAATTTTGAAATTTAATTTTTTTACTATAAAAGAACTGAAAATTAATAATATTCCATTAAGATATTTGCAATTTTGTTAACTTTTACTCAATTTCTATTATAGTTCACACGATAACGATAAGCTTACGTAAATTTTCTACCTAAAGCTTAATTACCTCTACTAAGCTTAATTAGCTTTACCTTCAGCTTAATTAAATCACCGAAAGTCAAAATATTACTGCAAGATGACGATCTTGAAAAGAGAAACGAAATATATTTTAACTGTATGTACCATACACTTATATTGAGTATTTGATCATCAAAATTATATTTTTCTTTTTTTATATGTTGTATAAATATAAGTCAAAATAACACTTTTGCATATTCATTCAGTTTGTCGTGAAAAATTGTGAAAAGACTCACGATTTTCAGGCAGTCTGACCCTCCAGTCCCCTTAAATGTCGCGGTAGTCACTGTTGATCGGCGTTATAATACTACGACGTTTTATTAAGTTATGTGTAAGTAAAGTTGGGTAGCAGAAAGTTATTGTAACTTGTAACGTCGTAACTGTTACAAGTTACTTTTTCTAAGCTTGTCAACAGTGTTATTTTTCCTTGTTAGTAGCGACGACAGTAACGTAATTATATTTTTTGTGTAATGGTAATGAATAATAATAGTCACTTTTGTTGTTATTCTGTATAATATACATAAAATACACACACACACACACATCACTTCACAGAGTGCCTGATGCAAAGTATTCCACATCCATATCACGTGTGCATGTAGATTAGATAAAATTAAACATAAAATTTCTCTAACACTTTGCAAATAACCATATAAAATTCTAAGTTTAATTTTAAAAAATTGGAGAGTGTGATCAAGCACAATACAGCAGATGAGTTGTAATAGCGGCGTCTGCAATTTATATTTGTAGATTAAGTCAAATTGAACGACAAAGCCCTCTACTGTTTCGTAAATAACCTAGTAGATTATTAGTTATTAATTAAATAAATAAGTTAGTAATTAATTAGTTAGTTAATAATTAGTTAGTCAGTAATTAATTAGTTAGAGTTAATTAATTAAATAACATTGGTATTATCGTGCATAATTATCAGTTAATCTTTTTTAATTAATGACTCAAAATCTACGTGATTATTTGCAAAATAGTACAGGGCTTTCTTGTTCAGTTTGACCTAATCTACAAACACACGACTGCATACGTCGCTTTTATAGCTCATTTACTGTATCGCGCGCGATCACACACATTCGCCAGTCTTCTTTGATTAATAACTAAAAATTTTACGTTCTTGTTTATGAAATGATAAAGGAATTTTAAATTTAGTTTGACTTAATCTACATATACAAGAAATGTGGGACACCTTGCGTCAGACACCCTGTATACGGGATGAGTAGTAGCGAATCGTAAAAGAAGATCCACTGCTTTTCTTGAGTAACGATAACAGTAACGAGCTATTTTTTCAATTAGTAACAAGTTAATTTTTTCAATTAGTAACGGCTTCAATTGGCAATGAATTATTTTTAAATTATTATATCCTATTGTGTTGCATTACGTTGGATTATATTGAATTATTTGTTTTGTTATATAACACATCATGCATTTCCGTAAAAAATAAGTGTTATTAAAATATTATATTTTTACTTCATTCAAATTTCCTCCCTTTATCCTTTTCTTATAAAGATACACCCGGTTTGAAAAAATTAAAAATGTTTAAGTGTCTAACTTATCGTTGACTTGTACTACTTCCTTTCTCGCGCTTATATTTAAAAAACGCAATACACGATATGTATAATATATATATTTAAAATATGTAAAATAATATACAAGTGAGAGAATATACATGTTTTAAAACCAGAACCAATTCGCTATGTTAATTCTAACGAACACTTTGGCAACTATAGAGGGAGAATCTTTTTTGTGGACTCGTATCTTTTCAAGTTAAGGCAGATATGTAAATT